GGAATTGGCAGTGGTACACTCTCCCCGGCACAACTGCGCAGCCTCTACTTCGAGATCGTGGAACACGGCTTGCGACTAGCGGTAGAATACCTGGCCATAGACCTCAACCAAGACAAATCGTTGTTGGTCGAAACCAGTCGTAATAGGGGCATGACCAAGATTATTGGCCAGCATATATTCAAGCCTTCGTCCAGTGTAATGTGGGATGACGAATCGTGCCTGTCTGTCTACCTTGAAGCCGAGAAGCTCGGTTGTCAACTCGTTCGCATTCTCAGAGTAGCAGCGGAGCGCGAAGATAACGCGGCAGTCGCCAAATTCACAAACAAAATTCACTCTCTACCGGGCGAACATCCACCTATCATCGCCTACAACGTAGGCAGCCTTGGACGAACATCCCAGGTGTTCAATTCAACACTCACTTCTGTCACTCACCCGGCGATTAAGCGCCCCACAAGCAATAGAATAGACCCTCTGATTACTTCACGGGATGCGGTACAGGCTTTGTTTCAAAGCTATGTGCTGGACCCTCTGCAGTTTTATATACTGGGGGCTAGCGTGGCCTACAGTCTCTCACCAGCTATGTACAATGCTGCCTTCCATCACTGTGGCATGAGTCACACCTACAGTATTCCCGAATCTCCCTCTCTCACGGCTTTAGACAAGTTGGGCCGAGACCCGCATTTCGGAGGTGCTAGTGTTGTCCAACCATGGAGGGTGGAGATCTTCCAGAAGCTCTCCTCGAAAAGTCGACATGCAGAGGCAATCGGAGCGATTAACACGATTATGCCTTTGCGGGCGCGAGCCGATGGGACGATGTTCCCTCTGCAAGAGCAGGCTAGCCGTCGCAATCAGGCGGGACCTGTACTCGGCTGGTACGGTGAGAATACAGATTGGGTGGGAATCATGACCTGCATGAATCGCAATCTTTCCCCGCGTAACGCCATTAGTCCGTTGAAGACGACCGGGTTGGTAGTTGGAGCTGGCGGCATGGGGCGTGCTGCCATTTATGCCATGCTTCGTCTAGGATGCCGCAAGATCTTCATATACAACCGCACCTTATCCCGCGCCGAGAGTGTAGCCCGTCACTTTAATTCATGGGCTGCTTCGCAGGTTGGCTCTACAAAAGTGGTGCATGTGCTGAAGTCATTGCAAGATGAGTGGCCGTCAGATACTTGTCACCCATGTTTGATTGCGTCCTGTGTACCTGCCGACCCGGACCAAGATGAGCCTCCAGCAAACTTCGAGATGCCGGTGCAATGGCTTGAGAGCCCTACTGGTGGGGTGGTCTTAGAGGTAGGTCTTGCTCTCCCTCGTTTTTCTCCATTCTTCTCCTCTTTCACCCCTCGGCGACTCTACTAATGACCGGTTAATAATGAAACTTACTGATCCTGGCATAGTTTGCATACAAACCCCTAGAGACCCCGCTCTTGCGTCAAATGCGTCGTTTTCGCAGTGAAACTGGACGGCCATGGGTTCTGGTAGATGGACTCGACAACGTCATTGAGCAGGCCATCGCTCAGTTTGAGCTGCTGACAGGACGGAAAGCGCCACGGCGACTGATGACTCTGGAAGCACTTCGCAATTATGTGGGGGAGCACGGACGATTTGACGAGGAAACAGTTCAGGCGCGACTTGACGGGGTCTAGTAGCGCGCGGTCGTCGGGCGGCCGTGAAGAGGCTTGATATGCATCGCCCATCAAATGTATCATTATGTATTTTGTACTACAGAACCATAGACTGTACTCCGTACACGGACAAATTACAATACTAAGACCAACCCAACCATCTTGTAATTTCCAATCCCAGGCTCCCCCCGGGGTGGCAGTGATCACGTGCGCCGAAGTGGACTGCGAGCCGCCAATTCAACAACCAAGACAACTACGGACGCGCGTTCAAACATCTCCTTGGAGTATATGCAACCTTTGCATCTGAATCCAGCAATGGCTCACTGTTTTGCTCAACTGCACCACTAAAAATGGCAATTAAAAAGGTGCCGAGACTCCCTTATCGCAGAGGCTCTCAATCCTCCGAAGATGACTTCTTCGATATCCCTGACGAACCATGCCTGGCAATCGTCAAACGGCAACTCCGACGCGTTCGGACATGGGTGGTCTTCGCCTTCCTCATCTGCTTTTTAGTATGGCTCCGGCGGGAGCGTCCCCAACCCGCGGCCCTGCCTCATATAAATTACGATTTAGTGGATTGGTCCCGTTATGCCTATAGCCAGTATGCGACCTCTAGCGCCTATCTGTGCAACGCTGTCATGGTGTTCGAAGCCCTGCAACGGCTAGGAAGCAGGGCACAACGTGTATTATTCTTCCCTGAAGATTGGGATGTTAGTGTCGAAAGCGAGCGTGATAGGGATAGCCAATTGTTGGCGATGGCAAGAGATAAATACAATGTGATGTTGATTCCCATCACCTTGGAGACTATCAAACCGGGGGCAGGTGTGTTGTGGTAACCGAAAATTATTGAGGTAAAAGCAAGGGCTAATGAGGTTTACATTTCTTGACAGGATCTGGAGAATCATGGGATAAGAGTATCTCTAAATTACTAGCCTTCGGCGAGAGCGAGTACGATCGGATAATCCACCTTGACTCCGACGCCAACATTCTACAGAACATGGATGAGCTATTTTTCCTTCCTCCGACCAAGGTTGCGATGCCGCGGGCGTATTGGGGGCTTCCGGATACCAAGCAACTGTCGTCTCTGCTGATTGTGATCGAACCGTCCTACTCTGAATACAATGCTCTGATGGAGGCGGCGCTTCCGGCTATGTACGGACAAAAAGCGGTCAATACATCATCGACACATAGATACGACATGGAGTTATTGAACGAACGGTATGCCGATTCCGCCACCGTGCTTCCGCATCGCCAGTATGGCTTAGTGAGTGGCGAATTCCGCACAGACGATCATAGAAATTTCCTGGGCAATGACTATGAAGTCTGGGATCCGGATAAAGTGCTATCAGAAGCCAAACTAGTGCATTTTTCAGACTGGCCTTTGCCTAAACCATGGGTTCTGTGGCCGCAGAATTTGCTGGCTGAGATGTTGCCCAAGTGTAAACACAACCCTGGCACAGCACAAGAAAGTGGGTGTCGTGATCGAGAGGTGTGGAAGAGTATCTATCATGACTTCCGGCGGCGGCGAAAGGTTTGTGGTGCTGCATCTTTACGTTGGCATACGACTTTATTAACGGAGCAATTAGGACGTCTGCAAACTTTTAAGTTATCCGGCCCCTGATTGGCCTCCAACGGAGCATTCTGAGTCTTCCGGCTCAAATGAATCTGTATAATGCATATTTGATAGAGCATGATCGGCGTTGATGGGTTTACACACGGGCCAGCATTATATGGAAATCAGATAGACTGTCCCATTTTATCATAGTAAATAGCCGTAGAACCCACCCTGCATCTAGGGGACAGGTGCATTCCCAACTGACCTCACCTCATTCTTGTTAAATAGGGGTGGGTATGAAGGTTTCAACTGGTATGGCAGCATACTTGGGCTTGGGTATTAAACAAACATGCCTGAGGATGAAACATAATGGAAAGGAGGGGCAACCGCTTCGTTTTGAGAAACAACAAACGACCCTTTGCTCTCCTTATCATATCTCCACTAAAGCCATGATGATATTAACGGGTCGCAGAAGACGTGGCATCGCAACGATCCTGTCGCTCGTCTTATGCGATTCAGCTGCGAGTAGTTCCGGTCCGACGGAAGATCTATTCACTTTCAGCTGTTTGCCATTGACAACCCAACGGTCTGATCCGATCATATCCCCGGGGAAACCCTCCTCACACACACACGTGGTTGTAGGGGGCACAGCTTTTCAGAGGTTGATGACAACCGACACCGCGAGAAATGCCAACGACACAACCTGTGAGGTTGCGATAGACCGGAGCAATTACTGGATTCCCCAATTATATCATCAGACGCGAGATGGGTTTGAAACAATCGAATTTGAGAACAGCGTATGTTATAAATTGTAGTGGAGAGTTCCCGGACGGCAACTGACATAGCAAACCAGGCTATTTATTATTTCAACAGAGCATGCGATTTTTCCCCGAACGCAACATCCTGCGATGGTACAAAATACCCGCTGGCGCCACCTCCCGGGCTACGCGTAGTTGCTGGGGATTTATTTCTCCGGTCAGAGGTTCTGGATCGAGTAGTTTAAGGTGCAAAAACTGATGTTATCATAGAACGTATAACGAGACGAATTTCGCACAGCGGGCCATCTCCCACATGTGCATGAAGGATGATGGAACTTCAAGCGAAACAAAACATCTTCCACAGCAGTCATGTCTGAAACTGAGATCGCAAGTATTCTTCCCCTCATGCTGGGATGGGAAAGCCCTCGATAGCCCAGACCATCAGAGCCACGTGAGTGAAACATCGACGGTTATGACATGCTCTAGACTGAGATTAAATTAGATGGCCTATCCCGCGGTTGGGGATTATAATCAGGGTGTTTGCCCGGAGACCCATCCGGTGGCAGTGTTCTCGATATTCGTGGAATTCTTCTTTAACACGGAGCCCTTTCCGGACTATGAGAACTGGGTGTACGCTATGGGCGACCCGACAGGGTATGGTCTGCATGGAGACTTCCTCAACGGCTGGACAGACCAGAACGCACTGCAGAACGCTATGGCGACATGTACCGGTCTGGAGGGGCTGAACGATCCGGAATGTTCGATCACAAACAATCAAACGAGGGCACTGACTCCAATCACACATTCTTTGGATGTACATCCTCCGTTGGAGCAATTGGGTCAGCATGGGCCTCTTTCCAGACTACCAGGTAATAATCCGATCACGGGATCACGCGAGCTGCAGTGACCGATGTGACATTGAGTTCTCTGCTCAACTTTTTGCAAATAAATTCAAGACCATCGCACACTCTCAAATACGAGATCTTGATTAATAATGCATTAGCACATTCTGAAGATCCATATTGGACAGCCTGACTGGCCGTATGAATCCGCCAGTCTTAACTGTGTTGCGATCGCTCTTCGGACATCCCCACGGTTATATGATAAGAAGTAAACTGTTTCAAGACAGGCCACACCACTCGCAAGAGCTCTGCAGGATATGTGCTGTAGATTATTAATAAGTTCTAGCCCCAAATAGCGCAGCGTAACTCGCCAATCAATTCACATATCCCATTCCCTTCCTCCACCATCTCCAGACACCACGATCTTCCATTAGACTTCCGAACTCCTTGACTGTCTCGACCTCTTCCAGACCAGCGACAGAATCTCTCTCCCCATGCTCTGGTCGTCCATTACTTGTCTTGCTATCCCGCTGTTTCTCATTCTCATTCCGATTCTGACAATCTTTCTCAAGAAGTTCAGGCCTAGCCACTAGCTGGAAATCCTTATATCTCAGATTCCGCACCACGCTCACCCATGCCTCAACAGCCTCCTTCTCTTTCGATTCCACATACATGATTCCAGGAATCCCACCAGAGCGAAGGAGTGCAAAGCAATTGTGGGCGGATGCAGCTTGTTTCAGCGCAGCAACCTTCTTGCGGGAGGTAATGTGGTGGGTGCGGATGAGGGCGTTATAGAGCATTGTTACATCTGTTTTCTTCCTCTTGATTTAAGTCTCAGGGTCTCGGAAGGAATTGAGCGGTATCATCGTGACTAGTAAGGTAATAAATAGGGTCGCCCTACCTCACATTTCTGGTGTTGTTTGGTAGGGGAGACGGGTGACCCCAACAACACAATCAATCAATATGAAATTTAATTGATTCTACCCGTGATTTCACTGGGCAGTGCCAGCGGATAACCAAATTGGGTATAGCGTAGATTGGAACTTAAATTGGTACAATACTTACGGAGTACGGACAATCTGGAGGACCGAGAGCTATGGCCGGTCTTAGATAATAAATAGGGATAGGACCAAGCACCGACAGTGTAGATCAAGACATGTTTCACTACAAGTTGGGTTGGTACATAAAAATATTATTTATTACTCGCGCCAGTGGGAAGAGTTTGTGGCTCACTGGGAGGTAAATGTGAGCCTCTCTCGTATACAGTGTACTCATATATATACCTATCGAATCCACTAGTAGCGAATGTAGTTTACTCACCCAAGAAGCACTGTGCTAGTATTTATACTAGCTATTATCCCTCACTATCGCCCACTATCACCATACTTTTCCCACTCAACATTCCCAAGCCACCTTCCCTTACTAATGATATCATCCCATCACCTACTACCTACCTGAAGGTAGTTAGGTTCGCGCTTCCGCTCTTGTTGACGAGATCTTCCGTGCATCCCCACTAGAAGATGTAAGCCAACCCCACCACTCCTGCAATGTCCGAATATGCAATCTTCACATTTAGAGGAGCACCGGGATGCAAGCGGAAACCAAGACCTCCATTGGTAGTACCAAGAAGAGGAACCTGAGAGCCCAGCTTAGGCACTGGGGGAAGACGCTCTCGCCCTGAACGAGGGGAAAAAGGTCACATTACTAGAGGATGAACATATTAGCCCTGGTCATCTGCGATCGTTGACCTAGTCCGACCCACTGTAGGGTATTTGAGGCCTTCCTATTCACCTATCTTTTTGTTCCTGATCCCTTTGTTATGCCAAACCATACTACCTCTGTAAAGATATTGCCTACAATGGTAATGCAGTGAATACTTCGGGTACCTACTCAGGCAGCCATTATTCAATGAAGAATATCCTATCGTGATCAAAAGGAGAGAAGGCCACAGGTCCCTGGCTCAAGGCAGTAGAAACTGTCCATTTACCTTTGGTCAATATATGTGGATTGTTCGAGTATCGCTAGATAGATGAGCGAAACGCCGTGGATTCGGGGTCATGGAAGAAAGGGTAGAGACTGGACCTACAGAGCCCTAGCACTGTAGCATATAGTCGTATAGTGAAGTGAGGCTGCATAGTCATTATTAGGATGGTACTTCTCTATCCTTCTAGTGAATTTAGACAAGGAGCACTGTCTGTTTATATCATATCACCCTTAGAATGAGACACAGTGCTTGGCTTCAGTCTAATTATTACACTTTTGCCTACTGAACTCGAGGGCTTCAGCCGGGAACCCGATTCCTCATAGTCAGCTGCACAACCCTTGGTTGCCGTCGAATTCTTAATCCAAGAAGGGCCATGGCATATCATTTGTGGTTTAGTACATTTAAAAATAGAGATGCTTCGTCACATGGAACATCCAAACATAAGAGGGTTAAGGATAATCCAAAATCTTAGAAAATGCTTGTATAGGGTGGCTTTGATTGAGCCCAAGGTTCCGCCCCGTGTTGGTGACCCGGGAAGCCCTAGTCCTAGGAGGGGTGATTATGATTTGTCAAGCTGTACGGGATTATATCTATAGTATAACGTGCTGTCTGGAAAAGTATGTATCCAACGGCTTTCAGTCCGGCGGTTATTTCGGCTGATTGATCTCTATGGCAGTGACTCAAACACATCGAGCATTTTAATATCAAGTATAAACCAATTATACACTGGCTGAAAAGGTAGTTAGCTGATCTCCAATCTGACTGTGCCATGAACCTATCCGTGAAACAGATGCTGCCTTCGTTAATTAAAGTAAATCATAAATTGCGCCTCCTTCACTGTGACTCTATGAGGGCCACAAATTTCTAAGGATTCTGACAATGATGTAGTGAAATTGTTCCACGGGTGCTAACTTCTTATGATAGTTAATCTACGCATAGGTAGTCTGTTGATTTGTGTCTTTTGTATACTATTAGGGTAGTTTTGAGTTAGCACAGAGTCGAATTTTATATAGGAATGTTTATTTCATTGCAATTGAGATTGTGGCACTATCCAATTGTTACGTCCCGTCTGATCGCCAAGGATCATATAGCATAGCGGACGGACGAGTATAGACTTGGATATTGCTTTGATTTGACCCTTGATGCCAGTGAAGGAGAGTTTTAGGTTGGAGGGACAGCAGTTGCGAGATGTGAGGCAATATATGACGGAGACTTTGCTGTGACTGATGGTTATGGACAACATAGAATGTTATTGACTATGCATTTGGTATCTATACAGGGTTGGAGCCGTTCAATACGTACATAGTGACTAGACCACGATCCTTAAACGGGGCAAAGTAGCTCCGTACAGCGGGGATGCGTATCCTACCAGGGAAGTTGATATGGATTTAGGACTTGTGATATGTGTAGTTACATTTACACTAGGCCAGTGAGTGGAATCATATAGATTGTATAGTATGGAGCTACTTGGCGGTATGGTCAAGATAGTATTGCGGTTGATGGCCAGCACTGAAGCAAGGCCATTATGAATCATGAGACATGGATTAATGACGTCGACTACAGTTCAAAAAGAAAAGTGTTTGCTAATAAAGATGACTCATCTCAAAATATAGGTATTATTCTCTGTCTCCTTTATCTTATTTCATTTTATTATTTTCTTTCATTTTATTCTTCGCTGATTAATTTTCCGGCTGTAGCAAGAAAAGAAGAATCCGGATTGGGGTCCATCTTGGCGAAAGATTTGCCGTAAAGGGTAAAGACTGGTGGCCACCAATCCCGTTCAGGTAAAATTGAGAAGAGGAAAAGCACCAACTGGGTGGTGGGATCCTATTGGAGAACGTGCTGACCCCTAACTTAGGAAGTAGTCCTGGGCCTATTACTACGAACACTACAAGAAGTTATAGGGACATGTACTATAGCAAAACTACCAAATTTCTATCTATATAATCCTACTAGAGCATTTCTTTTCTAACGTTAAGCTTGGGGTATAGCATACTGGGTATGGAGTACTACCGCAGACTACAGTAGTACTTCACCCTTGAAGACAGTGGATACTCGAGAGGTGGGGCTCAAGATATGCAGTAGTCGGACTTTTTTTACACAATAAGTACAAGATGGGAAAAGTGGATCGGCGCATCTTGGCTGCCCTTTTTTGCTGCCAATGAAGACAATAGTTTAACCGTCGGAGAAGTCTGGAACGCTAGGGTAAAATTCCAGGTTCCCAGCTAGCACTGGCACCCATGATTCATTCATCTCTAGCGAACTGCCCTACTCGGAAAATACCCTCTATTCTACTAGTAGTAGTATGCCGAGATTTTGCCTTCTCCGGCCTTACTGGCCAATCAATCCTTATGTAGCCATACGGTGCGAGTAATTTTCTTTTGCGACACCTAAAATGGTGGGGCCCTGGAGAGATGATCATCGAATCTCTTTGCAACATTTGCTTACAAAAACCGAAAGAACTGTCTTATATGACGTCCAATGGCCTTAGGGTAGTGAAGCTTGGCTTCCTCTTTAATCTAGCACACGAGAACTGTAAACTGGTGCTGCCTGTAGTCGAGTCACGCCGTCTGGTATATAAATCGGTCTTCGTGTGCGATGGTTAGAATACATCAAAGTTGATTTCTCTACATTAGTCATTCCTTGCGAGGCACCAGGCTTAAGAAAGGCCGTGGACCTACCATGCCGGCCCATCTTCACGCTCACCCACATGGGGGTACCCCTCTGGCTGCTAATCATGAAGCTGAGAGTCCCTCTGATACAGTATCCTCTCCTCGGGTGTACTTGTCTCACGACGATGAAGATGCTATCGCGGAGATCCGTCGGACCTTGACTGAGATTAGCCATCATAACCCCCAACAAGGTTATCCTGAGCCGCATTCTTCCTTTGACAAGTTTTTAGAAGCAGAGTTGCAAGCCGGCCGGAAAAAGTCGAACCTCGGAGTTTGCTTTCAATCGCTATCAACTTGGGGGGATGGGGAAGAGCACACCGATGTCAAAACCTTGGGAACGGCACTGTGGCGCACATTGACATTCCAAGATGTCTATGAGTGGACTATTCAGCCCTGGCTTTCTAGGAAGGAACCACAGAGCGGACGTCCGTTGATTCGCGATTTCTCAGGCGCCGTTCGAAGTGGTGAGATCATGCTGTAAGTACACCTACGTCTGTATGGCAATGTACCGAGGAATATGTTCTCAGACTCACGACTCGTCAGGGTGCTGGGACGACCGGGAGCTGGTTGCTCGACATTTCTTCGAACAATTGCCGGCCATCACTCTTCGTTCCTCGGAGTAACAGGGTCTTTGGACTACTCTGGTCTCAGCCTAGAAGAGGTTAAAAAGCACTATCGTGGCCAAGTGGCCTATGTCCCAGAAGACGATGTACATTTCCCTACACTTACAGTGCAGCAGACGCTGGAGTTTGCACTCCAGAGTAAGACACCCCAGAGATACCAAGACCGGATTTCTCGTTACCTTGAAATCTATGGCCGCGTGTTCGGTATGTCCCACACGATGAATACACTGGTCGGTAACGAATACATTCGGGGTGTTTCTGGTGGAGAACGCAAGCGTATCTCAATCATTGAGTCCCTCGCAACGGATTCTTCTGTTTCATGTTGGGATAATTCCACCAGGGGACTTGACGCTTCATCCGCTTTGGACTATGCTCGTAGTCTCCGAATCATGACTGATACATGCGGTAAGGCTACGCTAATGACACTGTATCAAGCATCAGACGCCATTTACGACCTGGTTGATAAGGTTCTTTTGATTGACGAAGGGCGCATGCTCTACCAAGGCCCAGCTCGGGAAGCAAAGCGTTACTTTGAAGACTTAGGTTACGCGTGTGCTGAGATGCAGACAATCTCGGACTTCTTAACGAGCATAACAGTGCCTGAGAGACGCAGGTTCCGACCGGGTTGGGAGACCCGAGCCCCTAAGGGACCCATTGAGCTGGAGGAAACATTCCGCAAAAGCCCAGCCTATCAGAAGGTCCAGTATGATGTACAGCGCTATGAGGACCAACGCCTTGGCGGAAAAAGTGTTCGGTGCTCGCAGACTGATTCGGACGATGGAAGTCTGGAAGACTTTAAGAAGGCTATACAGACAGACAAGTCCCGTTTTGTCTCTCCTAAATCCCCGTATACGATCTCCGTGTTCCGACAGGTTGTGCTTTGTGCAAAGCGACAACTGTGGCAAATCCGGGGACATATGTCTCCTTTATATATCAAGATCATATCGTCTGTTGTCTATGGGTTGCTGGTTGGTTCCATGTTCTATAGCCAGCCGCAGACTACTGCAGGGATGTACTCTCGGGGAGGAGTCATTTTCTACTCCTCCATCCTGCTCGCGTGGCTCCAGATGTCCGAATTGGAAGAAGCAATGCAAGGGCGGGATATTCTCAGCCGTCAAAAGAAGTTTGCGTTTGTTCGACCCAGTGCTGTATGCTTGGCCAGAGTCATCACCGATTTCCTCATAGCGGCGGTGATCACGTTTCTGTATTTGATCGTGGTCTACTTTTTGTCTGGCTTGCGGTCCGATGTAGGTTGCTCTTCTGTGTCTGGGATGAAAACTCTCACTAACTGTTTAACCAGGCCGGGGCTTTTTGGATTGACTTCTTGTTCATCTATCTATGTACCATCTGTTTAACGGCTCAGTTCCGATTGTTCGCCGCGGCGTCTTCTAACTTTGAAGTTGCTTTGCGGTACTGTGGTGTATCTGTACTGTTCTGCATAGTTTTTGGTGGCTATGTCCTCTCAGTAGACAGGATGATAAAAGACGTTCCTTGGGTTGGTTGGATAGCGGTAAGAAATCCAGAGGGATCCCAGATTGTGCTCGAGGCTCATTCCACTCTTTAGTATACTACTCCAGCTCTTTACACTTACGAGGCAATGATGGCAGCGGAATTTCACAATTCCAACTTCACTTGCGCACCAGAATCTGTTGTCCCTTCGGGTGCCAACTATACCGATATTGCATATCAGACTTGCGGCTATCCGGGAAGTCAGATCGGAACGACTATCGTGAACGGCGACGACTATTTAGCAGCCCAATACGGCTTTTCTTTTGGTCATGTCTGGCGCAATTTTGGAATATTGTGTCTCTTCACCGTGGTCTACATCATCTGTACTTGCTGGTTAAGTGAAATCATGGAATGGGAGCCGGACAGTGCGGGCCCCATACAGTATAAGAAGTCGCGGAGAAATTCAAGACGAACCCACAGGGGAGGATTGGATGAAGAAAGCAACCCTGTCCACCGCGATGTAACCCTCCCTGCTGCAGCAAACAGTTTTGAAAAGTCCGGCCAAGCCATCACCGGAACAATGTCTACATTTACTTGGGATAATTTGGAGCTGTTTGTCCAAGTTGGGAAGGAGACACGAAAGCTGCTGAATGGAGTGAGTGGCTACTGCAAGCCCGGAACCCTGACAGCTCTGGTTGGTGCCTCTGGAGCGGGAAAATCAACGCGTAAGGCTCTGTTTACTTCCTTCTAATCCATGTTCCCCTGCTAACGACTACAGTATTGACTGCCCTGACTCGGCGACCAAATTCTGGGAAATTGACGGGCACAATGTACGTCGACGGACAGGCTGTTGATGAGTCATTTAACCGTCAGATCGGGTACTGCCAGCAAATGGATATTCACGATGAGAGTAGCACTGTTCGCGAGGCGCTTGAATTTTCAGCGCTGCTGCGCCAGAACCCGGAGGTGCCTGATACAGACAAACTCTCGTACGTAAACACAGTCATTGAGACACTTGACTTGATCGAGTTGCAGAATGCCCTCATCGGCTCTTTAGATATCGAAAAGAAGAAACGGGTCACTATTGGAGTGGAGCTTTGTGCGAGGCCTGAGTTGCTACTCTTCCTGGATGAGCCGACCAGTGGACTTGATAGCCAGGGTGCTTCTAGCATTGTTGCTTTGCTGAGACGGTTGGCAGACCAGGGACTGGCTATTCTTTGTACCATTCACCAGGCAAATCAACAGCAATTCGAGGAGTTTGATCGAGTCTTGGCCCTCAGTCCTGGTGGAAGTACCTATTACTTTGGGGAAGTAGGGGAGTCCGGCTGTTCGATCTTTGAATATTTCTCGAAGAATGGGTACAAGCCAGAGAATGTGACCAACGCAGCAGACTACTTGATCGAAGTTGTCGTTGGGGGCATGAAAGACACCGCGCACCAAGTCAACTGGGCTGACGTATGGAACCGATCCGCGGAAGCCGATATGGTCAAGAAAGACATATGCGACATCCGGAGTAAAGGAGTTAAGGCTGGTGTCTCTCGAGATGCAAAGGAACTCTCCAAGCCGCCACTTCACCGCCAGGTGGGCCTCTTAACCAAACGTACTTTGCGGCAGTTCTGGCGAAGCCCGGAATATCCCTACTCCCGGCTCTATGCGTCGTTCCTCCACGCTCTGATTAACGGTCTCACTTATCTGCAGATTGGGAACAGCTCAACCGATCTGCAATCTAAGGCCTTCTCATGCTTCTTGGTTCTGATGTTGGTACCTGAGTTCATCAACGCCATATCTATGCGGTTTATCATGAATCGCGATATATGGAAGGCACGCGAAGGTCCTAGCGGTGTCTATGGATGGGTTGCATTTTGTACAGCGCAAATCGTATCTGAGATTCCGTACGCCGTTATCAGCGCTGTGATATTCTATGTACTCTATTATTTCATTGTCGGACTCCCCCTGGGCTTTGCAGCCGGATATAGTTTCTTGATGTTCTTCTTGTTCTTCCTGTTTGCCACGTCTTGGGGCCAATGGATTGCAGCGCTGAGGTGAGCATGCTTACAACTGGGATAATTAATGGTAGACTCCGTGCTGACAGATGACCACAGCGCTGACTCTATGGTGGCTGCGACCCTCATGCCATTCTTCATCATCATGTGCGAGCTGTTCAACGGTATCCTTCAACCCCACGAGAACATGCCCGTGTTCTGGAAGTACACCATGTACTATGCCACACCCTTCACTTATTGGATTGGAGGTGTCCTAACGGCTGTCCTACGTGGTATGCCCGTCCTCTGCGACAGCAGCGAATTAACAATTTTTGAAACCCCGCCAAACATGACTTGTGGAGAGTATGCAGGCCCGTGGCTTGCAGAGCACGGCGTAGGCTACCTTTCCAACCCAGATGACACAAGCAAATGCGGATATTGCAAGTATAGCCATGGAGATGATGTAAGTGGTCCTGTCTTTTTTTATTTTTTTATTTTATTTTTTTCCCTCGCGACTTTCTTTGGGTGGATGACAATCATGGCCGATTCAATATAACCGTCAAACTAACGATACTGCCTAGTATCTGTCTAATATTGGCTTGGACTCGTCGAAGATTTGGCCGTACTTCGGCATTTTCTTGGCATTCGTGATCTCGAACTATTTGATGGTCTATGTTCTTGTGTATGTGCGATCTGTGATGAAGCCTTTCTTGGGGCGTAAGTAAGGTATTCGATGAGTTTATCTGTTCATATTGATACAGTGAAGTATATAAACATAATATCAAACCGTGGAAGAGGCTAGAGCCTCCTGGTATGAATACTGAGACCTTGCTACGAAGCCATAGGGTTTGCCATGGATCATCATGATTCATCAGCCAGGGAACCTCTTTGTATTATATACCTTTAACTAAAAACGCGAGTATTCACCTATCCCAAGCATTAGGAAAGGAGTGAGTAGGGATACCAAAAACTTCCCATGGGCTCAGAGCAAAGATATCATCACATTGTTCGAGGGACATTACGAACTAGGAGAACATGGAATCAATCCATGATATACTAGTATTCCAGATCAGGCATCTGTCTTTGAACTGCCTCAGGTTGGAAGAGACCGGAAGCCGGTGATAATTACTTGAGTGGGATTCCCCGAGCCGCTTATCTCCGGATTTGGCCCAAAAGCGTAAGGCCGAAGGTGGATTTTGCTCCGATCGTGACTTCATAATAGATGATCAGGCCATCGGAAAGAAAGGTTTCTTCTTCTTGGTTACTATTATTATAGTATAATCATTAATCTGATAATGTGTGTTGGATTTGACACCGACTATCCCTTTTCTCTCTCTTAGGTGCCGATATCTTAACGTATATCCCCTCCGCAATACTGAGATATCTCTTACTTGAACCAACAAATGTTCACGCGATAGACGCCCACCGCCAATATGTACGAAGATCGCGAATCAGGAAATCATAACGAACAAACGTCAACATCACCGGACTCGATTTTAGTACCCCGACGGCGCCGACCGGCTCTTTCTTGTACCGTTTGCAGACGCCGCAAGCTCAAATGCGATCGAGCCTTACCGTGCTCGCAGTGCGTCAAGTCGAAGACCCCCGACCTCTGCGTTTACTCCGGACCCGCGTCGGGCCAGCCGTTGGAGACTCGACCGATTCGCACCGTTTCCGACCGGGCCAATATGCCCAGTAATCACACCAGTCCAGCCCATAGTGGGCTCTACGTCTTTGACTCGCGGCACCAGTCTACAAACCGAATCACCAAGCCCAAAGGGCGCCCTGAGGAAGTGCAAGAACTCCGACATCGCGTGCAGGTGTTGGAAAGTGCATTGTCCAGAGCCGGGTCGATCCAAACGCCGGACAGTTCGGCGTGCGAATCTGTGTCAGACTACGCGCCCCGGATAACTTCGGATTCTTTACTTCTCAGTGAGGACGTCAAGTATCTACCAGGGCGAGCATGTTTTAGGGGGAAAAATGGGAAGACCAGATATTGTGGACGTTGTCATTCGGCACTATCTTTTTCATTTGTAAGTGGCCACGAATCGCGCAACGTTCTCGTGCTAAACAACTACAGTTCAAAGATGTGGCCTCCTACTTTCAAGACCGACGCTTGCAGAAGAAGTCGAAAAGCCCGGAATATCTCAAATTGAAAAAGTTCAGGGGCGAAATGCTATCCCGAGAGAAGCAAGATCATCAGAGGGCATACCGTGAGAAGGCTTTCACGCTGGAAGAGATGCTCCCGCATCGGAGAGTCGCCGATGAGCTAGTCAACTTGTATTTGTCCACCTTTGAAACGACATATCGAATCTTGCACGTTCCGACATTTCTCAAGCAATATGAGACATACTGGGCTGGTACCGAAACTACCGATATGGCCTTTATTGCCAAACTTCTGGCGGTGATGGCTGCCAGCAGCTGCTTCTTTAGTCCAACAACGAGGCTCAATGAGAAAGACACTTTGCATAGTGCGGCAGGAGGGTGGATTATGGCAGTTCAATCTTGGATCTCGTCCATTAACGTTAGCTCAACGATTGACTTCAACATGCTGCAGATCCAGTGTATCTTGATCCTCGCACGCCAGGCTGACGCCACAGATGGGGATGTTGTTTGGATCTCATCAGGCTCTTTGATCCGCTCGGCCATGATGATAGGGTTGCACCGAAACCCCGCGCGCTTTCCAAAGATGACTAGGTTTTGGGCTGAGATGCGTCGCCGTCTGTGGGCTACCATCTTGGAGCTGGATCTACAGTCAGCCTTGGACGGAGGTATGCCTCCTTCAATCGACTTAGACGAATATGATTGTGACCCACCATCAAACTATGAAGATGAAGACTTGACGGAAGATCTGACAGAGGACGTTATCCCGAAGGATGCAGCGATGATAACACGCAGCAGTTTCCAGGTTCTGCTGTCGCGGTCGTTGCCGTTGCGTGTTCGAGTAGCAAAGTTAGTCAATAGTTTGAAATTCGCTTTGTCTTATGACGAGGCATTGCGCCTGAGCGAACAACTGGTTCAGTACCGGGATAATGTCTTGGCGCTGTTCCCTGATAACGCGTCCACATCCATTTCCACTGAGAGCCTGCAGTTCACGAGGTCGTTCTTAGTGTTCATCATGGTCCGGTTTTTACTTGTTCTTCACCGTCCATTCTCTCTCAGTGTGCAATTGTCGCCCAAATTTTCCTATTCACGAAAGATTTGTCTCGAGTCATCTCTGGAAATGCTTTCTCAGTTAGATGCTCCCGCTGTTAGCCTCCCAGAGGCACAAGCATGTCCACATCTAGGACAGCTCAGTGGCGGGATGTTTCGCGACGAATTTTTCCACGCTGCGATCACCGTCTGTGTGGAGGTTTCCCTCCAAGCCAGCGAATTCTCGTCATCGAAACAGCCTCCTGGCCAGCTTAGCTCACTAAGTTCGCTGAATGACTTGGTACGGTCCCAGCAGGATGTCTTAGTCCGTGCCGTAGAGCATACGCTGGACACCTTTGGCAGCCGAATTTCGCCAAGGGGGAAAGGGTGCAAGGCATTTATTTTCCTTGCAATGGCTCTCGCATCCGTCAAAGCGCGCCTGAATGGAGAGGATGCCTTCAGAAAGGTCGAACAGGTTGCTGCAAAATCCATAAAGGACTGTGAACGGCTGATTCGGGGGAAAGCATGGATCGATATCCGAAGAGAAGAAGGTCCCGTTGTGGTAAATATACCATGTCTCGTGCGCTGGCTCCTACTAATTCAGATATAGCCGGATACCTTAACACCTAGCTTGAACTCTGCGGCTCCTGAGATACCGTTTGATCCTGCGTTGGTTCCCTACGAGTCAGCTTCTGTTTCCGTAAGGATATCCTCACCCTATACTCTATCTACCTTGGCGGACTAACAGTTAGCGACCAGCCACTCGACTTTGGTAACCTGTTTGACTCGGCTGATTACGGATTTCCGGAATTATGGAATATAGACTTTTTCGCAGGATTTTGAATGTTCTCGTGAACGCACATGAATGGTTTACTTGTTAGTTGACGCACGTGCGCTGGACGCTTGATGAGTCATCGATGTCACTGGCCCGCTTTTAGCATTGTTGTTATTGTTGTTGTTGTTCTTGTTAAAAGGGCCACTCTTCCTCCCTACCTACCCTAAATCATACTAGATACCCCTCCGAAACCAAACTCCAAACTTTGATAGAAGAGAACTTGTATATGCTCAGCATGTCGTGAGTGTGGAATGCTCTGAATTAATATATGTCACTCTGCAAGTTCGCTGCAATGTTAACACCAACAGGACCGTCCTGACCACTCTTGGTCTTCGGGCTGCTCCCGGGGAACAGGCCTCCAACCATGCCGTGGCCTATCTGCTGGTCAACTGGCTCATCTCATTTGGCGTATTTAGCACGCGGCGGGAGAAGTTGAAGCTCGGTATCGATCACAACCAGGCCCCTCGTGAAGACCTTGCCACATTTGGAGAGGCAGCTGTGCAATCAGGCAAGATCACACGGCAAACCTTGAATCGACTCAAGCGGCAGGAAGCCATTATGGCCAATTCAGCGGAGCATTACCCGTTATTCGTAGCTGCAAGTATGGTCCTTGCCCAACATGGTGATTTGACCTAGATACATACTGATCTGCCTAGTCCTTGTCGCTCTTCACGCGGGTGTGTCCAATGATATTATTAACCGCATTGGACTATGGTATACGGTGTCGCGGCTGGCGTTCGGGCTCTGCTATAAGCACATTGAGTCTCTCAAACTGAGCTTTGTTCGTTCGTTCTTTTGGTGGTCGGGCAATATTTGCTGCTTCACCGGTTTTTGGTTTGCCTCGAAGAAACTGTGATCGTACTCAATTTCAGAAATCTTCGTCTTCAATTATTAAGACAACGTTTCCGCCATTACCAGTCCCAGGGTACGTATGAACATATGTATGTATCTTGAATGGTTCCCTCGGTACCACCAAGGACCAAGGACCAAAGATTACTGGAAATCACAATGCAGATCTGTTGACCAGCTTCGGATAAGTGGAGGTCGATACGAGTTTCTTGAACTTTCCATTGAGTCCAGGAAATTAGATCACTTTCGGATTGTGGGGCTGTGATATGTTGAAGGAAATGATCTTCTATGGATATGGGGCGCTGGTCTGGCCAAAATACAGAGTAGAACTTCCGATATTCGTCGGCTCCATGTTGTAATTATTTGCCTAGTTAGGATTTAGAATGGTACCTGAATCGTCCCGTGAAGGTGTTTGAGATACACAGCCAAGGCGTCTTCGAATTTTTTTTTGTTAAGGCCATTTATACTTATTTTCATACTCATCTTTGATATTTAATTGTCTTTATAGTGTCTCCACTCTCCCTTCTCCTCGCTTTTGGTTGGTTGGTGAGACGTATTCGCTGACGACAGTCAATTAATAGTAATCGCCCTGATTGCCAAAGCCATCCCCCTCTAGGAAAAGTGATAGAAGGCCACAAACCAACAAATTAACGGCATTGGTACAAAGCTTGATCTCCCATAATGTCTAGTGATCTCACGCTCAGGCTGGTACTTCATTTGCAACTGTGTGGTATGAAGAATATCCGATTGGTGGAAGTATAAAATCCCTCCCACCCGGCGAAATTCTGGCTAGTCCAGAGCTCCATAACAAACTATACCCCGGACCCCCAGATATCTCGACATCGCATTGTGATCATATTCCCCCGCGATGTGGGGAAGCATTCGATGGCACGATAATCCCAGAGGTGGAGCCTGATATCTTGGACACAGATGAAGTCAGAAACGGAGCTATCCTACAGGCGGAGAAACTTCTCGTTGGGTTCCTTGAGGTGTGATTTACTTGGTGGCTTGGGTGATAGAAGCGATTGAAATAATGAGTCGTATAAAAGGGGCCTGTCTCCGGACGTCAAGGGTGTACAATCTCTGAGCTCTACGGATCAAATCAATTAACAGCAGCATGAAGTTCTTCCTTGCAACTCTCTTTGTGAGCGCCGTGAGCAGCATCGCGGTTGACCAGCTTATCCCTGGAGCACAGATCATCTCTGAGAGCGACAAAAGGGGCTTAGAGCGTGTTGGTGGCCACCATGACAAGTATCATGACCGTCGCACAATAACTATTCGACCTTCCCGGAACGATACCGATGATGTATCGAGGGACTTCCTTTGGGGCATCAAGCATGCTAACCATGGGGGACGACTTCTTCTCAAGAAAGGGGAGAAGTATGTGATTGGTAGAAAACTTGACCTGACCTTCTTAGACGATATTGAGGTGCAACTGGATGGAGAATTGAAGGTATGTATTCTTTGGTGTCTGAAGCCATGTTTTGTAACAAGCCCGCTGATGTAACAGTTCACGGATGATGTCTCCTACTGGCAAGAGAACAATTTCTATTATGATTTCCAGAAATCCATTACGTTTTGGCGGTGGGGCGGAAAGGATATCAAGATCTTTGGAACTGGCTTGTTGAACGGAAACGGCCAGAGATGGTACAACGAGTTTGCAGGGCAGGAAATTCTGGTACAATCCTTGAATATCATAGGTGTCAAGTGACCTTGCTAATGAATGATATTAGAATCCCGACAATGACTACTATCGTCCAATCCTCTTCCTGACCGAAAACGCAACCCGGATTTCTGTTGAAGGCATCACGCAACTGAACTCACCTTGCTGGACCAATTTTTTCATCCAGTCCAAAGACGTCTCATTCGATGACGTTTACATCCATGCATTTTCTACGAATAAATCGGTGGGCCTCTCTCTCTCTTCCCTCGTCCTGTTTATTAACCGGCAAAGTAGGCCTTACCTAAAAATAGCGACGGCTTCGACTCGCTTAATGTTGACGGGTTGAAGGTCACAAATACGCGGGTCGACGTTGGAGATGATTGCTTCTCGCCCAAGCCAAACACCACCAACATCTTCGTGCAGAACCTGTGGTGCAATAACACCCATGGGGTTAGCATGGGCAGCATCGGACAGTATCCAGGGGTAATGGACATTATTGAACACGCGTACATTGAGAATGTAACCTTGTTGAATGGGCAGGTAAGTCTGGCTTGAAGATGGAACCAGGTGCGATGTCATTACTAATAATGATAGAACGGTGCGCGTCTTAAAGCGTGGGCTGGCCAGGACGTGGGCTATGGTCGAATCAATAACATCACGTACAAAAACATCCGCATTGAGAATACTGACGCCCCAGTCGTCCTTGATCAATGTTATTTCGATATTGAGGAAGCAGAATGTGCCCAGTACCCTTCCCAGGTGAATGTGACCAACATTCTCTTCGAGAATATCTCTGGCACATCGTCCGGGAAGAATGGAAAGGTGGTGGCCGACCTTGTGTGTTCGCCAAATGCGGTGTGCTCGGATATTCAATTGAAGAACATTGATCTGACTAGTCCTTCTGGAAGCCCACCGGTGATTGTCTGTGAAGGGGTCCAAGGAGACATTGGGGTAGAATGTCAGGCTTCAGCCGACTGAAGTGTAGACTAGCCATGCGAAGGATATGGTTTTCAGACCATGTAGTGTCAATTACCAAACATCTTTCTTTTCTACCTTGGCTTTTTGCTCTCTCTCTCTCCCCTTTCCCTAATTAAGTCATTCCATCCTTTCATCCCCACGTTAATGTCGCTGTTGTCCTTCCCTGGTGGGGTGGTTGTTCCCGCAAGGTACGTGTCTCACCCTTCGATAAATTCTTTTTAACGTCCATGCGATACCTACCACGTATAGAAAAGAAAAACTGCTAGAGCCAATGGCAATGACAGTAAAGCGTTTTCGTCATCAGTTGTCCATTAATCATTGCAATTGGTCGGTTATGGGTGAGGACCTTGTGCCCGTCGCGAATACAGGTACCTTGCAAGACGTTTTTCAGGGCGTGGATGGAGTACCTTTGGAGTCGGAATGGAGACCTAACCTCATAGACCAATCGCAGGTACGATTATAAATCATATCTCTATGTATAGTTGTGAACCTTGGGGGTGAGAATGTATACCAGTATATAAGTATTTGTACATAGGATCTGGTGATTGAGAGTCTTCTCCTTTTAATTCTTAACTCTTTTTGGTGACTTTAGTCCTATGCTACGAGACTACTCAATAACCTACCAGAATGACGATCAACTCAGGCCCAGAAACCCTCGCCTTTCCTGTGCCCAACAACATCAATGGAGCCAAGGGATGTCGACAACTTCCGGTCACACTTCTTTCGGGGTTTCTGGTACGACGAGCATCTATAACCCCCTTACGTGTCGCAAGGAAGAGGCTAATGATAGGGTAAAAAAGGGTAGCGGAAAGACAACTCTCCTGGAACATATTCTACAGTCGGACCATGGATTTAAGATTGCTGTCGTTGTTAATGACATGAGCAGGTACGCCTTTGACACAGTATCACAATGGAGACCCCAGCACGAAGGGCACATTAACCCTTTCTAATGAACGTATAGTTTAAACATAGACGCAACCCTCATCAAAAACCACCACGTGTCCCAAACAAAGGAAAACCTCATTCAACTACAGAATGGATGTATCTGCTGCACATTACGCGGAGACCTGCTAGAAGAACTAGCCCGACTTACGAAGCAGGACGATGTGCAGTATGTCGTGATTGAGAGCACAGGGATTAGCGAGCCAATGCAGGTCGCTGAGACTTTCACAGCGGAATTTAGCGCTGCGATGCTCGAGGCAGACGTTGCTGACGAAGAGGGGAAGAAAATCCTCAACCAGATGTATCTATTTCCCACATCCTCCATGTGTACAATCAACGATGAGTTGGACTAACCAAGCAACAGTGTCGAATTAGGAGGCCTGCATAACCTAGCCAAACTAGACACAACCGTTACCGTCATTGACGCCTTTAACCTCCTGACCAATTTCGACACAGCGGAATTTCTCTCTGATCGCTATGGCGGACAGGTTATTCCTGAAGACGAAAGGACCATTTCTGATCTTATGGTGGATCAGATCGAATTCGCGGACGTCATTATCATCAACAAGATTGAGACGGTTGACGAGAAGACTCGCGAGAGGATCAGGTCTCTTCTAAAGCTCCTTAACCCAGACGCCAAGGTGCTTGAAACAAGCTATTCAAAGGTCAATGTCAATGAGATATTGGATACGGGAAGGTTCAACTTTCTCAAAGCGGCATCAGGTGCCGGATGGCTGAGGAGTTTGCACGAGATGACCAAGAGGGAAACTGGCAATGGGGAAAGGCTGGCCCCTGTTCCCGAGACCATTGAGTATGAGGCTTGCTAACCCCTTTCCTTCCTATCCATCAAGTCTAATAATTAAGCAGGTACGGTATCAACAATTTCGTGTACAAAGCTCGCCGCCCATTTCATCCGCGGCGACTTTTCAGTTTGATACATGACAAATTCATTGTCCTCCAGAATGTCGAAACACAAGAAGATGATGGAAGCGAGGAAGATGACGGAAATGAAGCTGAAGACGAGGACGAGGAGGACGAAGATGATGAAATGGAAGATTTCCCCCAGCCAGATCCCCAGGAAATTCTCTCAAACAAACGCTCTCACCCTGTCTTCCATCCCATTTTACGCTCCAAAGGTTTTTTCTGGCTTGCCACTCGCCCGTATCAATTTGGCGAATGGAGCCAAGCCGGTGGCATGCTCACCATTGGGTGTGGTGGACCTTGGTTTGCCGAGGTACCAGACGAGGCTTGGCCGGAAGATGCAGATGTGAGGAAGTCCATTGAGGACGACTTTCGTGGGCCATGGGGAGACCGGCGACAAGAAATCGTGTTTATTGGGGAAGGAATTGAAACGAGTGCCATTACGGACTTGCTAAACGAATGCTTGTTGAACGATGAGGAGATGAAAATGTGGGAGGGCATTA